ATGACATATTTATGCCTTGCTATACTGTCGTTTTTATGCCTTTTTGTGTCTTACTATACTATGACATATTTATGCCTTGCTATACTGTCGTTTTTATGCCTTTTTGTGTCTTACTATACTATGACATATTTATGCCTTGCTATACTGTCGTTTTTATGCCTTTTTGTGTCTTACTATACTATGACATATTTATGCCTTGCTATACTGTCGTTTTTATGCCTTTTTGTGTCTTACTATACTATGACATTTTTATGACTTTTTGTGCCTTAATGTACTATGTCGTTTTCATGACTTTTTTTGTGTTACTATACTACGACATTTTTATGCCTTACTATACTGTCATTTTTATGACTTTTCGTGTCTTACGATACTATGTCATTTTTATGACTTTTTTTTGCCTTACTATACTATGTCATTTTTATGACTTTTTTTGCCTTACTATACTATGACATATTTATGCCTTGCTATATTATGTTGTTATTATGACGTTTTCATGACTTAATATACTATGTCATTTTTATGACTTTTTTTGCCTTACTATACTGTGTTGTTTTTATGACTTTTTTGCCTTACTATACTGTGACATTTTTATGTCTTACTATACTATGTCGTTTTTGTGCCTTAATGTACTATGTCGTTTTTATGACTTTTTTTGCCTTACTATACTATGACATTTTTATGCCTTACTATACTATGACGTTTTTATGACTTAATATACTATGTCATTTTTATGACATTTTTATGCCTTATTATACTGTGTTGTTTTTAATGACTTTTTGTGCCTTACTATACTATGTCATTTTTATGACTTTTTGTGCCTTACTATACTATGACATTTTTATGCCTTACTATACTATGTTGTTTTTATGACTTTTTGTGTCTTACTATACTATGTCGTTTTTATGACTTTTTGTGCCTTACTATACTATGACATTTTTGTGCCTTAATGTACTATGTCGTTTTTATGACTTTTTGTGCCTTAATGTACTATGTCGTTTTTATGACTTTTTTTGCCTTACTATACTATGACATTTTTATGCCTTACTATACTATCATTTTTATGACTTTTTTTGCCTTATTATACTATGACATTTTTATGCCTTGCTATATTATGTTGTTTTTATGACTTTTTGTGCCTTACTATACTATATCGTTTTCATGACTTTTTTTGCCTTACTATACTATGACGTTTTTATGCCTTACCATACTATGTTGTTTTTATGACTTTTTGTGTCTTACTATTCTGTGATGTTTTTATGATTTTTTATGCCTTACTATACTATGACGTTTTTATGACTTTTTATGCCCTAGTATACCATGACGTTGTTGTGTGTTACTAATGTGTAAGCTTGGTGGTGCAATGTTTAGAACTGATTCCTCAAAATGAGACGGTCTTGGGTTTGAAGCCCACCTCCAGTCTCCTCTCAAAGTCGAAAGACATTCAACTCTAATGCATTATATTGCTAAATCTTTATATGGCTTACTATTCTGTGACGTTTTTATGACTTTTTATGCCTAACTATAGTATGACTTTCTTATGACTCTTCATGCCTTTGATGTTCTTAAGACTTTTTATGTCATAAAAAAGTGATACTATACATGACATATACAGTATGTCCCTATATTAAGATTGATGTTACCATATGTGTCACCTATAAGAGGATATATTATTATGACATACATACATCCTCTGGATATATGAAGATATAAGTTTATAACGTATATGAAATACTCATGGTAAAATGCAACTTCATTAAAACAACATGCTTTTTAAAATTCTATATGTTTGTATTTGATTTTTTAAATAATTTCTTATTCAATTCATGTCTATCTTTTATATTTCCAAATATAATATGAACATATACTGACATGCTTTGGAAGGGATATATATCTATGTAACATATGTGTATAATATAAACAGACATACATAAAATACTAAAATGTTTCTATTAGGTAGACATAAATGTCAATATATGATATTGTTCCAATTTAACAGGTTTCATATCTTATATGAAACCTATGAAACATTAAGTATAGCTCATAAATATATATAATATATATGTATATATACATATGTGTGTGTGTGTGTGTGTGTGTAGTGTAAATATATATATATATATATATATATATATATATATATATGAGCTATACCTTAAATACATATGATTTTACTTCATATGTACATACATTTCATATATGAAAATTCAACACATGTACATATATTACATTTGTATATGGGCATTCCTGAATGTAAATTCATATCTTATATGTTAACAAACCATTTGGTTGAAGGCATTAAAAAGCCAATCTCTTTGTTTTTGAGGGGTGGCGGAGTTGTTGTGTCCCTATCAATGTTGAGAACAAACCTCCACTCTTGGCAAGCACAGACCAGGAAGAATGCAGCTGCACATAAGGGCTATAAGTACATGAGAGCTATGGCATTTTCATTCAAAGGAGTATTATTTGTAAGTTAGTTTTCAGTCATGTCAAATGCCTGTCTCTTTTCTTCTAACTCATTTGTCTGTCCTTCACAATAAGCCCTAGTTTATACTATTGCTTGTGGTTTTCACACCACCTACCAAAAGAGGGTATTCATGTGATGCTGTGATCCAGAATAGGACAAAATGAGCAAACCATAAATTCTAACAGAAAATGTATGAGGATGCCCCGTGGGGTCTGGGTTCAGTCACATGACTACTCACTGTGATGTATATCCAGCACACCCACAAGTTTTTGATGAATTCAAGGTTATTTTTTGAATTTCTGTATGCGACGTATAAAAATGGGTTCACACACCCAAATCAGTTAGATTGTTCTTGATATTCAGTTCTCAGGATCTAAGTTCACTAAGTTGAATGAAAGGAACAATATTAGTGATTTGTATGTACAAAATATTTTTTGTACTGTTTGGACTGTGGTTACACACACCCTAGCTCTTTCCTGTGGGTGAGTATTATGTTTTCTTCTTCCACCTTTATCATCTTTATGTGTTGACATTAAACTCATCAGCTGTATTTATTCACTGAGACAAAGAGAACTTACTTCTTTGTTAAGGTCCACATCATAGTCCAGTGGTTCCAGGTCAGCTTCGTGCGCAGGAGGAGTTGTGGCCATGGAGCGAAAGGTGAGCCATTCGTCAGAGTGTGAACGGGGTCTTTCTTTGTGCTCGGGAGGTCTTTCCTCCCCCTGGACACTCCTAACTCCCTGTGCCTCCTCCCCCTGAACAGCCCTCTCCAGCAACTGCAGATCAAACTCCTGCTCTCTCTTCCACTGGATAACGCACACAGGAAAAAAATAAACTGTGAAACAAATTATAGGATGTTGCCATCAAGATGTCTTGATTATCAAGTAAATGTGAAACTGACACTTGCCTTCACACTCATAAAACAAGTACTGTACAGCACACTAGTTATCACTGGTAGGCTAACATGATTTTAAAGGCTGCAGTGACAGAGAAACAGAGAGGGTGTGTGTGGGTGTGTACAGGTGTGAAATAGAAAAAGAGGGAGCATGCATAAATGTGTATGCATGCCTATATGAAACCGAAAGCTCTTGAATAAGAGCATGCTGTAAATCCACTACAACATAGATAAGGAAGACAGCACAATGGCACTGAAATAAACAAGACAGAAAAACACTCACACCGATGACAGTTTCACCAAACACATCCATATAATTAATAAAAAAACATGGCAATATGTGATCATTAGAAAATAATGTTTATTTATTTGCAAACATTCACATATGAAAAGGGTTCTTATAACTAACAATTAATTAGCAGATAAAAACACTGAGCAAACAGTGAGATCATTTAACCTATGTTTTGATATTGAAAAGGATGTCATACACATTAGTATTGTCTAAATAAAGGTGTCCTCTCACAAAGCCTGGGGGTGATAAATGGGACATCAGTAGGCCCCAAGCCATAAACACTCAGACCATCTTTGTCTTCATTTAAAAATATAAAAATTAAGTGAGAAAAATGTTTTGATGAGGTTGAGTTGAGTAGACTTAAATAGGCATTGCTCAGTGTATGTCAATGTTTTGGTAAGTAGAAAATAAGTCTGCACTCTCTTTCACTTTCTCTCTCCCACTCCCTCTCTCTCTCTCTCTCTCTCTCTCTCACACACACACACACACACACACACGTATAGACACTCAAAAATACACCTGGAAGCACAGCCACTGTTACAGGTTAGAAAACAATATGGTAGTATGGTAAAAGCATACTGCCAGAGTGAAAACTACCACATCCGAGAAATGGAAAGATTGGTGAGGAGAGGTGAGAAGGGATGGACGAAGCAATGTTAGTGTCTACAACAAAGAATAATGAGAAAAATACCCAGAAATGGATGAATGCGAGGTGTAGATGGCATTAAGGTCCTATGTCTGAGGTAATTAGTGTGTTATGTGTTTTCATAGGCAAGATATATTATTTGTAAAGATTTTGAGCAAGACAACCATCTCTACTCAATGTAATTGTCATTACTTTCACTTCATAATAAACATTTTCAACAGTTATATTAGTATGGTACATACTTTTTGTGCTACAGTTTGTAGAGCAGAAACTGTTATCTATATAGGCCTTGTTCAGCGGAGACGTTTTTACATGTTACAGCAGGAAAATCACGGGAGTAACTAATATAAACAATGATGGTTGAATTCCATTTAGTTTCAGTTTGAGGATCGTGCCTCACTGTGTCATTGTCATGGCTCAATGGGACAGTAGAACAAAACAGAGCCATTGTTAATGTTATTAGTAAACCCTGTGCTTTTTCCTACTTCAACAAGTCAATATGTCTGCTGTGAATAAGTCCTGCTAAAGTCTGAAAACAACATGCATGAAAGAAGCACCGTTAGAGCCACGTAGTGAATTACCATATTACACTAATTTAATGTATCACTATCAACTTTGTAATGCCAGGAACAGAGAAAATACCCACTACTCTGAGTAAAGGCATGCATGACAACTGTAGATCGCCACTCTCAGTATGGTTGTCGTCATGCTTGAGAGTGTGATGTGTGATACTGTTCTAGTAACATACTGATCCCATGTCTGCAGAAAGTGGGCGCGAGGATGAGGACGAAGACGAGGTGCGTGACGTTGAAGAGGCGTGTCGGTCTCCGTGACTCAGGGTGCGTTTGCGCTGGCGGACGAGGGCCTTCTGGTGCCTCTTCATCCTCTCCAGCTGCTCATCAGCACTCATCTTCCCCCTCTGCTGCTGTGCCGGCTCCCCAGAGTACAGACGCTCTAAGGCACTTTTTGGTCTCTCCTGAGAGGAGTGGGAGGAAAGAGAGTTGATAATAAGAGCAAAAGGTGCAGCAGAAGGCAAAGAAGTGGAATTAAAAAACAACAAAAACAAACAAGAAGGTAAAAGCATACAGTAGCTGATGTTAATGAGAAAGGCAAAAAGAACACAGTACACTATCCAGTTTTCACAACTGAGACATTTCTGAGGTTATAATTTGAGCATTCAGAGAAAATCCGGTGCACATTGTAGATTACAAACAGTGTAAAAGTGTCCAGGCCCATAAATGCTTATTTTTCTTCTCCAGAATAATCCTTATTAATAAGGAATTTGAATAACGTTTGTAGAATGTTTTTAAGTAAAGGCAATATATTATTGCTTACTGTCTATCTATCAAACTGTAGCTGTAGGTTCTGTCTAAATGAATAAGATATATTGCAACCAAAATCTGACATTTTGAAAATTATGGATATGGATTTTATTCTAGTAAAACACACAAACACAAAAAGAACCATGGGATAAACATGAGTTTGGACCATGATTTCTAAACACAGAAAAATATAAATGTCAAGATCTAAATCTGAAGATGGTTAATTATTACATTATATTACAAATCATATATTATAAATATTGTATTCTTTCAGGTCTGTAGTGCAGAAAATAAAAACAGGATCCGTCATTGTCTTCCCACCTGTGAACACTTCAAGTTGACTGATGGAGCACTTAAGAGAGCCAGAAGTATTAATATCAATTAATTAATATCAAAGAACTTAATGTGATGATGAATTCATTCATGAATTTCACTGATATCATCTAGAATTGGAGCTACATGCTACTATATCTGTGCTGTCTCTCTGTTGATTTGGGTACTCACTTTTGATTCACTCTTCATTATTTGATTTGATTCTGCGTATTTAATTCACCTCATTGCCTCACCTTCATGCCGACAGCTGAGGCTGCTCTTCGGATGGTCACATATGAGGAAATGCTTGAAGACTGATTTAGTCTAAGTGAGGATCCAGCCACTCCTGAGGGGAAATCCAACAAACATTAATACACTGTTTTCAAAAAAATCCTGGTGAGTGGAATTTACGTAAAATGCTAGTGGAATTTTTTTAAAACAATAACTATGCTACAGGCTACAGCTAAAGCAAAAACAATCTAAATTCTGCTGGCTCTACCATCCAAGTACCTCTGCTGGGTAACGTCTGATAACCTCCATCATGTCCGGATGCTCCAATACTGATGTGGCTGGAGCCGTCTCCAGCCCCCATAAGCTCTGGATTGCTCAGAAAAGGCCTAAGTTCCACCTGAGATACACAGACAAAGATTAGAAACAGATGACATTCAAGCAGCACAAACCAAAAATATACACAGGTAGTGCATGTACCTTACTGTCTCCATTAGTGTACTGGCCAATCTCTCTGTCCCTTTTGCGTTCATCTGACTGTCGTTTGAGGCCACGTACAGAAGTGTGTCTGATGACCGTTGTCTCCCGGGGCAGCGGGGGCACAGCAGGGGGGTGCTCATCAGGACTGTAGAGCTGAGGTAGAGGAGGTCTGGGAGGCACATCTTCCTCACCCTGCACACAGAACAACTGTTAAATATTGAGACTACTTAAAATGTCAAACAAGTATTGTTTTTCTATGAGTGGGTCCTCATTTTGTTTATCTCATGGATGCACATGAGGAATACATGTGCACATGTGTCTGCACATGGGTAACACAATACATAGTCCTACCAATGGTGTCACACTATTCCACTGATCAACAGGTGATGATAACGTGCCAAGATGTGCTGCAATGCACCAGCAAAGGCAGAGAGGAAGTCTCTGCTGACTAGTAAATATGGATATAAGATATGCTGGAAGTAAAATTGGATTTGCAAATGCTTCATGGGGAAGGAAATGCACTCTACACCTTTGTTAGACCTCAAGGATATACAGTAGCCATTGAGTTTTGGTGAGTAACACTGGATGTCAACATCATTTTGTTTGTTTCCAAGAAAACACCACAGGGCACCTTTGAGCTGTGTTTTGTTCATTTTTTGGGCCAAAAATAAACATCCACTACTTTCAGCTACTCACGTATGAGGATTTGCCATTTTCCTGTTTTTTTTCCTTTTGCCTTTTATATCATTGTAAATTGAATATCTTTTTGGGATTTGGACTGTTGGACATATCAAACAAGCACTTTGAAGACATCACCCTGTGAAATTGTGATTTCTCACTACTTTTACATTTGAGCAACTAAACGGTTAATTTATTAATTGAAAACAAAAAGGCAAACTAATTTATAATAAAAAATAATCGACAGCTCAAACTTAATCTAGTGCTGATGAAAAAGTGTAAATGGAAACACTGATCCAAAAGAGAAAAGATGAAGCTTCTCTGTGACATATAATATTTTTGACCAATCACACTGGTTCAACAGTTGGAGAGAGCACATGAAAAACATGACTAGTTTAGCAACCCTACACAAACTGCATAGTGCAAAGACTTAATGCGATTCTGCCTTTCATGCAAAATTGTCTTTATTTTCTAAGAACCAGCTGAAGTTACTTCTGCGGCAGGGGTCACTCACCCATTTAAGTCCACTGGTGATGGTTGTAGAGTGGTGTAAAGGCTGCTGGCTAGGGCTGGAGGAAAGGGTGGGGGTGTGGCTACTAGGACTAAGGTGGGGGCTGTGCTGCTGTTGCTGCTGCTGCTTCTGGGACAATCTCATCTCCATAGCAGACGGGCTCCCAGACACAGAAGGCACTGATGACACCGATACTGAAGGCACAAATTTCCTCTCTGGGGAATTCGATGTATATGAACATGTAACAAGAACACACACACACTGTAAAGACATTGCTTTCTTTTCACATGGGAAATGTTCAGGCATTAGTAGGCTTCTGAGTACATGATTAAGGGCTTTAATGATAAGATACAGTAGCATGACCTCGTGGCATGTATCGCATTGCTCAGACAGCAAATATAATTTGCTTTGTTCACATGAAACCTCCAGGTAGCTATTGTCTTACCTGGGTTAGTAACAGAGGAGATAGTGACTTTGTAGTTGGCTTTACTGGTGCTGAGGCCTGCGATAACATCCTCAATCCTCCACAGCTCCTTTCTGATCTGCACCTTTTCTTGCTGCACACAGAGAAACACAGAAACACACACATAAACATAGACACACACTGTAAAATTACTTGTGGACCAAGACATTAAAGAAGCTATATGTACATTTTCTCTGCCAGCGAAAGTGGTTTCTTGCCAGGAGCTGGTGGTGGTGATTGTTGCTTGCTGAGAGATTCAACCAGTTTTTTTACGTTATAATATTCCCTCTGAGCAGCTCTACTCCTTCAGGGCTGGTTAGCGTGCTAACTTCAGTAGAATACAAAAAGTGAAAGAAACAGAGGCAAAACAAGAGCCAACATTGACATTGCTTTCCACTGCTTGGTGACAGCTCTTGGCAAGTAAAGGAATGAAGTTTGATTCTGCAACATTTCTTCTAGTCTGGTAAGCAAACAGCTGTTAATGCTAACGCTGGCTACGTACCAATTGCAAAAACGTACATATAGCTCCTTTAATGATGACGAGTCATTTGTATTGCCAAAATATAGTTTTTAACTTATAGCCAACGCATGATCCTCTGAACAGTTATCAACCACACAGAATTCTTTGTTTTGCCTGTACATAAGAAGTCTGTAACTCATTCCCACACACACCCATCCATGAGAGTTAGTGACTGCTTGTGTTTGTTAACTGAGATCACTGAGCCACAGACCTGAGAAAGATCACTGCGGTTCATCTGTCCCTGCAGGGCAGACTTCAGCCAGTCCACATCTCTCTCCAGCTGGCTGTACTCATTCCATGCGTTCTCCATCTCCTACAGAACAAAACAAGACACACTTCATGTTATAATAACACATGAAACAGCTTTCAGAGAGCGCACTCATCTCATGAGCCAATGCTACTTTAAAGGTTTCAAGGTTCAAACCCATTATACAGATTTACAGTCGCATGGTGAAATGTATGTAAGAATAGCAGAGAGCAGGTGTCTTGAGTTTCTCAGTTTTATTTTGTTTTCTCACTTGGAACCAAGCTTTTGAATCTGAATCACTTGAATATGATCAGTTGTTTCCATTGTTCAGTCAGTCTTACTGTGTCATACTTACCGTGTCCATTGAGACATGAACCGCAGATAAAATGAATACAACCAATATGTCTTTGACAGTGAGAGCCAAAAATACTCATATTTACTGTTGACTGTTTCTTGTGGTTTCTTTGTAAATGTTCTATTGAAAGTCATCTTTTCGTTTTAACACTGAATATTCTGAATATCAATGAACTTGACTGGAGAAATGTACTCATAAGTTTCTCTGGAGTCTTAGGTTCATCCCCGAGCACTCATTATGGTAATGTCACACTCAACCTGAAACAGCAGGCCAGTTGCAGAAACCATCAAAAGGGAAAAACCAAAAATAGAAGCGAACATAATGCTGACACTGAGGCAGTCCAACCAATAAAAACATAATGCAAGAGGTAGTGTATACTTAGTAGAGAAGACAATCTAAGTAGTTTGAATCAGAGGACCTTACCTGCCATAACTAAATGAAGAATGTTGGGGGAGCCACATTGAATATATAATATATGTTTTTAATTTCAAGCATAATCAACTTGCGAGTGCAGCTGGTATCTTACTGTGGAGGCTTGGGATATTTCAGCCCTGATGTGCACCACATCTTCTTGTAGTAATTTCTGCTGATAGGCAATCTTCTCAGCATGGGCCGGCTGATCCCTGTACTGCTCCATCTGCTGGTGGGAAACATCCAGCACAGACTCTAGCTTATCCTAGATAGGGAGATGAAAGATACCGTCAAAACACAACCGACGCATTAATGGACCACATGAATACACCAAAACAGGCTGACAAACACACAAGTAAATATTGTATATACAGAAGGAAAAAGGCTGTTTTATATATGTATAGAATTAAAACCTTGTCCTCCTTCAAAGTGCGTATCCTGGCCTCCAGCTCCTGGAGAATCTTGTCTTGTTCACACAGTCGACTTAATTTCACCTAAAGGAAAAACATATTGAAATAATGAAATTGCAGGAAAACAAAGGATAAAAACTACATCTACCTCTTCTTCTCAGTACACTCTGTTTACCAATAATAATACCACAGAGTGTAGAGTTTATGCAACAGAAGAGCAGGGAATTGCGGAAAGTCTGTTTACAGCAGAGGTCGACTGTTTCCATTTTGTCTTTGTTCAACTGCAGCCAGATAAGATGAATTGATCGTCTACTGTAGTCTACGCTGTCTGTAAATATGTCAATAAGGCTCATCTATGTGAAAAGCCCGGAGGAATTCCTCTCATCAGCGCAGTGAGAAATATCAAAAGGCTCTATACTGTCTAGTTTGGGGGCGAGATCTAGTAATACCCATTATAAGTAATCATAATCAAAAATCCATATTTTCAAATTCACTTTTGGAGAAAACCCTGTTTATTGAGAGTGACAGATTTGTTTTCCCAGAAATGGGTTATGTGTTTATGAAAACAACATAAGACTGCCTACTTCACAGTCTTTCTCACACAGTGTATTTTTTTCTCAGATCTATTTATCATTCTGTTCAATTAATAATTAAGCTGTTTTTATTTTGCTGCTGTATATTGTTGTTTTTAATTGCATGAAATATTCATTGTTCAGACAAATTTACTGGCAATTTCTTATAAATTGTTAAAATGGAACAATGCTAATGATGAAAAGCCAGGACATCCATCTTATTTACCTCTATTCAGCAGAAAACAAAGAATGAGAAAAGCAGGATCAGGCAAATCAAACTGAAAAATTTAACAGCTCAACATCTAAAACTCCCATTACATGTATTTTTCTCTTTAAATTGCGGGGAGGAAAATAAAAGCTGTGGTCGATACTTTCAGGCCCTCACTGTGCAGGGTGGATGGATGTCCCCACAGTTTTGCAATGTACATACGTTCCCTTCCCTCCGCAGCCTCTGTTTACCACAACTTAAGAACACACACATACACACCCACACACACCCAAACTCACACAAACACACACACTAAAGCACACACTAAAACACACAGTAAAGTCAGACTAAAGTCAGCTGCTCCTCTGTAGTGGATTACAAGAAGTCGGAAAATGAGATCTTAAGAAAAGAAAGAGATGGATAAACATGGTGCTTATCAGACTGCTTTCAATCCTGAGACCATAATGATTCACTTACATCAGCATCACTTTCTGCTATTTTCACAGGCCTGGATGGTCTTTCTTTTTTTAAACTCTCTCGTCCAGTAACCTGAAATTCCCAACAGCCACAAATAAAATGTTTAATATCAGTATTCCAATGGAATATTTTCAATACCTTTATACTTTAATACTTTCAGTTAACAGATAACAACTGTATGAATTTTCAACATAGTCAGACTGCTAGACAAGTCAGCTGGATGGATCCAGGTAAAATAATGAATAAAAAATAAATAAAACACACAACAACAACAACAACAACAACAACAACAACAACAACAAAAAACTTTGTGCAGAAGCTGAGCAAAAACATTGTGTGCAGAGAGAGGCTCTGCATCTTCGAGGAAACCCTAAAAACCCCAAGGCTGCTCTTTCTTGGCTGCTAAAGAGTCCTTTATATGATGATATGATATCCTGATTTTATGATCCAGAAACATATTTTTTTCATTGGAAATATTTAAGGTTGATGTACAGCATGTCACTTGGGTAAATGTTAAACTGTAAGTTAACAAGGCCTCTAGTTTCATGAGGGTGAGGTAAGGAGGTATGTATGCTGGCAGAAATAGCTGTGACAATGAAGGCAAAGGAAATAACAAGATAACATGTATCAGTCATGACATTATGGATATCACGGTTTAACATAATTTGTGCATTAGCACTAAACACAAAGTACAGCTGACACTGATGGAAATGTCATTAGTGTTAAAGGTATTTTATCATAAACCAAAGTTTTAAAATTTTGACCTGATGAGGATGATAATGGATCTTGATGTAGGGGGTCACCAAAGTGAGTGCAGTATGAATGTTTACTCTCAGGTATTAATGTACACTCCTTATTTCATGGCAATCCATCCAGTAGTTAGTGAGATATTTCAGTCTGGACCAAAGTGGTGGATCAACCGACAGACCGATGTTGCCATCCCTAGAGCTATGCAATTAGCATGGCTAAAAATAAAGACATGTGTCCCCTATTGGCCTATTCCTGAAATTGTTATTGACTATTCCTACACTATGTCTGTGTCTGTGTGAAAGTGGCGGAAAATGTATTATCATGTGTTATTCAACACTATCAGCAAGTACTGAATCTAAAAAAAACAACACAAAAATACAGATCTCTTGTTTACTTACTTTATCATTCAGGGCCTGTATATTCCTATTATACATGGACTCAAAACATATCTGTTCAGGTTTGGTGAGCTTAATACACTTTCTTCTTTGAGCCTTATTTTTGGTCACTAAAATTTTATCACTATTATGAAATATTGCTATAGGACCTTATATTTTATGTAATAATTTCTGTTATAATTAGAAGTGACTTTATGATCTTTTTCTCTTTTGGTAACAGTGTAACAAGAAAACAGGTGTCAGTCTGTGCGTCCCATCCAGATGTTCTCCAGATAACGGGGCAGGGATTTATCTGCCAGTTGTCTGTCCCAGTTAGTAACGCATGAAGATGAAAAGTGTGGGTGGAATATTCATAAGATACCCACAACGGGATCACCACACCCAGCCCAGTGGTATGGACCAGAGCAAATGGGAGACTCAGTTAAAGGGCCATTCCACCTATTTTACATGTCAAAGTCAATTACTAGTCATGGAGTACTACACAGCCTGTGAGAACAGTTTTATAGTGTTTTTGTGGTTCTGGAGGGAGTTTTGTCAAGTCTGGGAAAATTACTTAAGTGATCACCAGGACATCTTAATTTAAACTTGGAAACTACAGGTTTTTAAAAGAAAGCCTGCGTCACATACTCGGGGCATTGAGTAATAAATGAAAAACAGTATCAAGTTGAAAGTCAGCTATCAAGTCAAACTAAACAAATTGTGATGACTTTTTTTGTAATCTGTCTTTCATATGTTTGCAAGCTTCATGTAAGTGCCTTATTAAGTTTCTGTAGTACAAGACGATGATCATGGTGTGACCACACCACTGCATGTCATTGTCCTTTTCTGCCTGTTACCACGAAGAAACTAGAGGCCCTAAAATGTAAGCTGTCACTGTCATATCATAATCACATTATTTCTCTTAAAGAGCACCATTGGGTCATCTTTTATGCTCTCACAAGCAAAACAAAAGCAAAGTGACGATATCAAAGAGACATTCAACAGCACATTCAGAAATGCTTAAGAGCATGCAAGGAATCCCTTTGCCATTACAACTTCCTTTTCCATCATCTCAAATCTCATGGCAGTGTTGGAGTATCACACAGTGAATTATCAGATCAAGGGATTCATGTGCAAAATCCTGCATAATTTCCAGGGATGCATCACATTCCATTTGAGAAGCAGTGGAATGATCTGTTTCATTTTGTATGCACACCATCCTTACATTCCAACAGTACCCAAAACTTGGAGTGGAGTTTTCAAACACATTGTGAACTGAAACGATCATCGGGTCAATACTTTGGATCTGTTTTGAAAAAGGAAATGGAGAGGTGTTACAGGACGTACTGTGCATCGCTAGACGACCTCCCTCCATTCCAAAACACAACCCGGATTTCTAATAAATGCATTGTGGTGTTAAACATACAAATCAATTTGGATCAAATGCTTTGCACAGGTGTGAATGGAATATATGTCAACAGCTAGCTAAATGTGACAGAATGATTAAATACAGCAGCATTAGGCCTTTGAATTTATATTATTTGTAACACTGACATAGGAATTGGAGTTCACATGACTCAAACGTTTCAGAAATTCAGCCATGTTCTTGTTAAAACTTCAATTCCCATTAAGACGAGCTTGACATCAACTTGTGTGGGGGTGACATTACTGCATTACCACACTGCATCTGAAAGTATCATCCAAAAGAAAACATTGTGACAAACTGAACATTACAACTTTTACTCAGGTGAGAAGCCAGACCGGCAATTTACGTCACATTGGACTATTTGTTGGATTTTGGATTTTATTAATATGGAAATGGCTTTTTATCATCAAATGTATAATTTACATGATAAGAAGACAGTTAAAAGACATGTTAATCCCATTATAAGGAGACAGTAGAAAGCACAGCACAGAACAGAGGAAAGACAAGAAAAGGGGGAGCAGGGAGGCAGATGTTGGAGGTAGCAGCAGGAAAACAGGATTGCAGTCCAGAGAAGGGAGATGAAGTAGAGGATGAAAAGGATGAAGTGGCATTTACTTTGTTGGGGCCCACCTTCAGATCTAGATACTCCAGGTCCTTCTTCAGTTGTATGTAAGTATCATCAGCCTTTAAATGAGCAGTGGAGAGATAAATCATTTGAAATGTAGCTGCAAACGATAATGGGTGACCAGATGACTCCTAAGGCCTTTATTTGCTGTTCAGGCTTTGCTAACAGGACTTTAATTAACGTGATCTCAATTACAGTTTACTTCTACCTCTGTATTTTTATCTACAGCGAGTGAAGCCAAACTGTAATTAAGTAATCATGAAATTTTTGAACTGGTTTAATGTCTCATGTTTGACCTCATACACAACTGAGCAACGCAGGTCTTGTGCATGACGTGTGGTCAAACCGAGATTTCACACTCCGTCATAAGCACAGAGAATGGCCAGAGAATGGTTGGATGTTAGCTGGGTGGGGTTGTCATTTCTGAGCACCGTTGCAGCTTTACTGTGGTCTGCTAGTTTTACAGCAATGCACTGTTTGTGACCAGGCTCACAAGGGAAACTGTGGCCTGGTGGCTGCTTCAGAGTGATAACGCCATATGCAAAAGATTTATCAGAGCACACAGAGATGTAGATACAAATGTGGAAGTTTAAAATGCAGGTACAGTCGACAAGCAACATGCTTCAAATATGGCATATTACTTATTACAAACAGAATAAAACAAGCCTCTGATAGCTTTTTCAAGTTTTGAACAAGGTGGATGAGGAACACTTACTATAAAGACACTAATGTATCGATACAAGGCAGTCTAGACAATCTGAAGTGCAATACAGCCCATGCCAAAATGGTTGAATTAAAAAGACAACCAAGCATTAGCAACAGATTGCAGTCTTGAATGAATGACAGGGAAGTAATGTATGGGATTGGCTGGGGTGATGGGGACCACAATACACTGGCAGGGGTTGCAGTGTGCTGTAGAAGAGGTTAGGGAGGTGCGAGGGCCCCTGACCTGCATGCCGGAGCCTAGAAGGCCGTTGTGCTGGTGGTGCTGCAGGTGAGCGAACGCATAGCTGGGGCTATGCACACCAGCCATCTTGGCCTGGTGCCTCCGAAGCTGAATGAGGAGCAGAGTCAGCTCCTCTGGCTGTAGCCAAGCCCAGGTTTTAGGGGCCGCAGGCCAATGAAAGTGCAGAAGGATGAGAGAAAGTATTTGAGAACCATCTGGGTAGTACAGTGGCTGAGTTAAAGTAGCTGAGAGAGCCAAGTGGCAGAGAGGCCAGTACACTTCTGCTTCTATTAACGTCCTAATAACACAAAGCTAGAGCTGCTCTGTGGAGATATGATCTATTGTGCTATAAGTGACGGTCTGAAGACAAGGGTTATCAGAACTGATAACACTAGAACAAATGGTATAAAAATCAAACAAGCTTTATAGTGCAGTCAGCTCTAGATTCTACATCTGGATACTGTCACCATGATGAGCCTTATAGTTATACCTGTTCATACCTGGATTGGCTGTCCTTGACTACTGGAAAACTATGTTAATACATGTCTTTAATAATGAAACCAAGTCATGTAGTGCATGTAATAAAGAGGATCATACCGTTTTGCCATGTAAGCTAGGTGCACTGACAGTATGTGTGATGTAGCCCATGGCTGGCATCGACCGTCTCTCCATTTGGGATGTCTGTGGACAAACAATTCATCAACTTGTTATTACAGATCTTATAGAGTCAAATCAAACAGAATGTCTAATTCACTAAGTAATCTTCAACAGAGTGTTAAAGTGAGAGATAGACCACTCCATCACACTGAATCAAAGTTAAACCATTGCCTCCAAGTCTGCAAACAAATTTGACTACACAGCAGATTTATTTTTTCATCTATCCTTTTCTCCCTTTCATCACTCCTAATCTTATTCGAAACAAGGTGTGCCCTGAGTTTTAGAGGCTACAGGGCTTGGAAAATTTGACGTTTTTGCTTAACACACAGAATTAGTGAAAACCAGGCCCACTACAGAACCTTAAAAGGACACAAACAACAAGAGATTTAATTAACTACACATAAATTATACTAAACCTGCTTTCTTAAAATAACATTTGTTTGCTACCAGCAAGAGAAGCACTGTAAGCCATTCCCTTTGAGATTCCCATGCCACTATTTTTTTTGCTGTATAATAGGTTTTTTATTTAAATGCGAGATCAGAAGAAAGAGACCGCGGCTGATGGTTGAGATACAGTAGAGATGTTTATAGGGTGCTGAGGAGCCCTGGGCAAATTGGATTAGCTGCTAATAAAACATACTTTTTAATGATATTCCACAGAGGTATACAGATTGCTATTTCTCAAGCACACTCCAGCCAGAGAGCACCATCAGCCTCAAAGATGCTGGGTGCACCAAAACTAAGTTCATTGCCGACTAAATTTAGTTCCCATAAACATCACTTCCTTGGATCATCTTGCATAGTCACTGTGGCTCCCTTTGTTAAAAAATGTATGTTCTTCAAAAGGGTTTTCCATAATTGTGCATCGCTCTGTTTTATGGTTATAATTAGTGTCCTGCCACTGATGGGTGAATGATGGAGGAAACAGCATCTGCGACACTTTGTTTACTTGTGTAAGGCTAACGGGCTGGTTTATGAGGCTTGTGCGTGCTGGCAAATGTGGTGATGGTTTGGAGGGAGATCTTTTCACATGTGGAGGGTGTGGTGGGGAGACAGCACAGGGTGTGGATGACAGGACGTCCCCTCGCTGCGTCTCCAGTGGCGGCGGTGGTGCTGTCTGAGCGCTGCAGTGGTTTGGGGAACAGCAGAGTAGCGGGCTTTTACTCACACATGCTCACACCACCTGTGGAATAGGCCTGGGTGTGGACTGTGTGAATCTGCAAATGATTCACATGAGCATCAAAGTGTGTGCGCTGAGAAGTCAGAGGCTTCTCATGCTCCTCATTACTAGTCTTCCCATGGTGTCCTTGTGAGCTCACGACATCCTTCAAATCATCAAATGTCAGTAGATACCTCACACCCACTACCCAAAGCTACTGTGAGAATGAGATCTTTGTCAGTGGGCTCACTACATGTGAATCAACAAGTTTTACTTAAATCCCAAGCCAATGACAAACTACTGACATTTACTGTGTGCCAGTATTACAGTGCTGAAGCACCAATGACTGAGTATGAGTACATAAATGAAGGGTGGGACTTTCATCTATCCATCTAAACATTATCTATACACGTCTATCCTGTGCCGAATTATGGGAATATGAGGGTGGGACTTCATTAAAATAATTTATGTGTCCTTTGCAAACAACAGAGGATGTACTTCTTGAGAAGGCTCCGATTCTACCGATTAAACAGCAAACTTTTGTTTCCCTTTTATCAAACAATTCTACAGCTTGTGATTCGATATGGCATACAAGTCTGGTATGGTAACCTGGCAGAACAGTGAAAGTCCAAGCTCCCACGTCTCGTCCAGACGGCCATGAAGATCATAGGGAAAAAAGGAACATCATTTTCTTCAGTCCTTATACAAGAAATCTGTGCTCAGGGAGGCTCAGAAAATTCAGAATGAGCCAACACACATCCTGAACCCAGAATTTGAGATACTGCCCTCAGGCCGACAGTTCAGGATGCCAAATTGTAGATTGAACAGGTACAAGAACTTATTCATGATAACAAATAGGGTTACAATACCTGTTATATCTGGGTTTTTATTCTTTTGTTTATATCTGTTTTAATTAGAAGAACTATTGTCCACTATCACTATTTATTATCATACCTGGATTTATTACTGTAATCACTGATCTTAGGCACGTTTTGTATATGTTTATATGTTTGATTATTGATATAGTTGCACACACGTGCATTGTGACGTTGTTGTGTTATGTGATGCAGTGGCTTGGAGCCCAATGCAAGTTTCCTCCACTGGACAATAAAGTACACCTAACCATAACTTAACTGGAACCTATGAGGTCATTCAACACAACAAGTCTTTCTATGAGTGTAATAGCAGCGTGATACCTCACTGGGAACACACCTACTGCTGCCCCTTGTGAATCACTTCCTGTTTGAATCCAAGACACGCTACAGAAATATGTTAACTAAGGTGGCAACTAATGATTATTTTCATTATTAATTAATCTACCAAATATTTTCTTGACTAATCAATGAATCTTTTTGCCTATAGAAAGTCAGATATTGATTAAAAAACGCCATCACAATTTCCCAGAGCCAAATGGGGCATATTCACGTTGCTTGTTTTGTCCAACCAACAGTCCAAAACGCAAAGATTTTTCATTTACACAGCTATAAAACCAAGAAGAAACAGAATTTTTTCTTGAAAAAAATCTGTTGATTGACTAATTGATTAATGGTGTAATTGTTTCAGCCCTAGGGTTACCATGACACCAGCCATTCAAACCCTTTAGCATCAGGGTAAGGTAAGCATAGTGCAGAGGCATAAGCTATAATCAGCATGTGGCTACATGGACAATACTTGTTAGAAGGAAAAATTTCTTTGTGGTTTTGTCGTTTTCATGGTATTTGTGAATACTGATAAAAATATAAAATAAGACCAGCATCAGCCTTTATCGTCTTCTTAAAAATAACTTCAGATCAAGTGCACCACTACACCAATATTTTCATTTTTTAGTTTTATAATGAGTAATACTGACTTTTTGCTCTACATGAATAACTTATTCCTAGACCAGGCTGTATGTTTGCTAATCTTGGCTGTAGTACATAATGATTAGAATGTCATTAACATCTGAAGTTGAAATGAAATATCAAAGGCACTGATATAAAATTATTCGTTAATATTATTCTATGAATGCAACACTTAAGATGCTATATTCCACAATATTTGAGTACTTTGAAAAGTATTTAGAACTACATTTAATACTTTCTATCTCAAAGTTTGATTGGGGAAAAAAGGAAATGTTGTTTTATATTTTATAATACAATGTTTAAGTAAACTGTTGTCTAAATTGTCTGGAGAAGATTTATGAGAAGCAACCCTGAGAAGCAAGTCAGAGATGCCTCTCTACCCTCAGTAGCTGCCCTACCTGTGAAAGATGGGCACAGATATGGCTTGGTGAGCTGGATCTTGTGCTGTCCCCGGTTAACACTTCATCCAGGGGCCTGACTGTGCGTCTGTCTGAAGGAGTGTGTGGCCTGCGAGGGGACAGGGGTTTGAATGAGGAGGGGACAGACGGTGGGACTTCACACGGAGATGGGGGGACAGAGATGGAGCGTGGCATCTCCACCGTAACTCGTAAAGATGAAGAGTCTGTGAAGTTAGGCCCAGAGTAGACAGGAGCGGTGGGGCTGCCGTGACGGAACTGCTGCCGCTGCTGCCACTCATACAGCTGCCACACCATTCCCTCCTTGGTGGCCATTCGCTCATCGGTGGACATGCGGAAGTGGCTGAGCCGGTCATGAGCATACTTGTAGTCACTGGGCAGGTTGCATGTTGCTGGAGGAGAGTTGCTGTCAGGCGGGAGACGTGGAGACTTTGGCAACGACTGATAGGTGGCATCCACTGTGCTGGCTTTGGGCTTTAAGGGAGGAGTCCGCCGGGGGAGGTTGTACTCAGCAGAGGGAGCACTGAGACAGAGAAACACATGGAAGAATTTTACTTTTATATAAAGATTTGGATATTATCTGTTCCCAATTAGAATTCTTTCTCTACATAAAATAAAATGAAACTAAATAAGACACTGAACCACTGAAATATACATGTACTCATAATAGCCACTAGAGGGAAGCATTTACCCAAAGTTTTTATTTTCATCATTGTTCATGCTGCTGTTAGAGAGAAATGTTGGTCGATTCAAACTGACTGTGTGACGTCAAACTGACCTCTTGATTGGATCCCCTTTTTGAACTTTGACCCACTGCTCCACCTGAGCCAGTGTATTCTTCCTCTGCACATGTTTCTCAGTGCCTGCCTGCGAAACAAAGCCCCTCTGATAGACAAGATTTCCATTTTGTTCCGGCGGCAGAGTCACTTGGATTACAGTTTGCTGTTCGTTCTTGTGGGCGGCACCATTGACAGAGTTTGGAGAGAGTCTCTCTGCTCTTTCCTCTGTGGCTGACTGGCTGGGCCTCCCTTGGACCTCTAATCCATACCTCACCTCATCTCCATGAGCCAGTCTGATACCGTTATCGTGAGGTTCCTCTCTGTCTGTCCTATGAAGGCTTTCTGACTGAGATGAGTTCTGGTTGATGTGGACATGGTTGGTCTGTGGAACTGCTTGCTGTGCAGCCTTCTCCGCCTTCTCCACCTCTCTGTAAAAAAGTGAGAGGGGATGATTTAATATTAACACCGATCATTATATTCTGTTTGAACTGTAGGTGTGTTCTTTACTATATTTATCAAGTTTATTTAATTGAAAAACATTTCTACATACAGCATATCCCAAGTGACAGAGTATGTCCCGAAGTAGAACAGTAATTCACCTTATAACTGTTATAAATGGCTACATTCATACACTTGTTTATTCATTATCTCATTTTTCCTGTTCATTGTATATTATGGTGAATAGCAGCTCTATTCTTGAAACAATGAATCCCTTGTTTAAAGCATTAAGAGGTGGATAGAAAAAGCACAGTGGCCACAAAAATTATCCTTACATGATCCTGAAGGTAATTTCCCAATTCATTTGCAGAGACACTTTTACATACGGTCAGATTCATTACTGAGTTTCACTCAGGAAAGATCAGAGACCATAGGGAGTTATTCAGTAAGTTTACATCTGCACTTTTTAGAGGTTTTGCTGGAGAATCCATAAAGAGAGAATCCTCAGGGAGAACTGACAGTTGTTTTGTCTTCATTAAATAGCTTTGGGTAGTATGATACTCAAACATTTTACTTTTAATTTTACAAACTGAATACACTTAAAAGTTGCTTATTTCTTTGGAAAGTAACTCCTGAGGTAGGAGGTGGAGGTAGAATATGAAGATAGGAGCAGTAATAAAAGGCGTGCTTTGGATGATTGAATAAGTGAGTTTAGTGTAATTATTTATTATACCTTCATTAGTGCAAAGCATTTCATATAATTAATGTTTCATTTCAAGGGACCAAACTAGGATTTTCATGTAGGACAATGAGTGCTTTTCAAAATAAACATTTCAGGAGTAATTACTTACGTTGGCCTCTAAGTGGCATTATTGCACAGACATTTGAACCGTTCCGACCACCGGATAAGCGATGCATCCAGCTAATCCAACACGCCTAGATGCAGTTTGTAATACATTTACCAAAGATACTATTGTCACGGAGTATCAGACTGTGTTGCAGACTATTTCTGCCACTGATTGTGAATATTTTCCAAAACATTCTGCGGACAGCTCTACATTGTGATTACTGCTGTAGAAAGACAATCTGCATTAGAACATCTCGTATGTGAGGCTTGTGCTCAGCTGGCAATGGTTGCAATGAGCCTCATTTATACCAGACCCAGATGCAGTACACACACACACACACACACACACACACACACACACACACACACACACACACACACACACACACACACACTGCAGACATCTTTGTGCCCTAGAACAGACGGACAGAGCTGCACCTGCTGTGGAAGACTGCTGTTAAAACAAAGCCCTTGAAGGCAGGAAAAAGGAGCAAATTATAGTTATGAAAGCAGCATTAAAGCAGTGGTCAGTTCAACACTGCAGTCTAACACTGTAGACGAAATAACACACAATGATTAAAAATAACTATTTGGTTGAATACTATGATGCCCAGGTTCCCTTCATAATATCATCTCAAGACATATCCAGCTGACAGAGACTGCTGTGCTTTATGGAAGGAAAGATGTTGATACTAGTGGATGCCCAACCAATGAGGGAAGAGAATCCTACTCGGTAGAGCAAGACCAACCTCTTTATAGTGTGACTCTGCTGCATTAGCGCAGCCTGGTTCATGGCCCGGATCCAGCCATTCATGTCCTCCTGTGTGTCCGCACTGAAGAAATATGTCCGCATCCCGCAGTGTTCTGCCTGTGAGCCAATCACAGAGTTCTTATTGTAAATGTAGGAGCGCATTCCTGTGTGGCTCGCCTATCAGAGAGAGGGAGAGCGAGAGGGAGAGAGACAGAGGATAGATATGAGAACTTCTATACCTAAGAAAAACCTGCCAGTGAGGCTGATGAGTGAAAACCTTTGCTGCCTTGTGTACTGAGACTGACAGTTGTCAGCTCAGTCAGTTCACAGCAACATTTTACTGAAAAAAAAAAGAGTAGGGAGGGAGCAAAGCGCTGAAGTAGAAACAATGTGAACATTGTGTTGTTTCCGGCAAGGAAAAAAGCATTACCCAGGTTATATTTGTTTCAAAAAAAGCTCTGTACAGCCTCTTTAGCACACAGAAATTAGACAGCGACTAGGGAAATAGCCATACAGCAGCAAAGGAAAGTCAATTACCTGTCACCACTTTAGTCAGGATACACACACACACACACACACACACACACACGCATTATACATTATAAATATTATCTTGCTTGTCATTTCTATGTGACGGTGTAAATCTGTCTTAACAGCTTGATTGTACAGTGTGGCCACCAAATCCTCCAAACTTCACCGAACCCCATCCACTTCCGATGCAGACAACCAGCTATACCACAGTCATCTGCTAAATATGTCGCACTGATCTACCCAATATATAGTAAAAAAAAAGTGCAAGCATCAACATATTTATGTAAAATGCTAGTTATTTCACATTAATTGTTGTAACTTCACCATAACAAAATTCACGAATAACTGCTGACACCCACTAAAAAGGACCAACTGCATTATATAGTGTATACCATGGAAACAGTGTGATCTTCACTGAATTCAGTACAAGAAAAATCTGCAAAAAAAAAAAAAAAAACAAAAAAACCTATCCACAATAACAGAAAAAGGTTCTCTCAGTGATTACAAAGATATAATCCTGCTCTCCTCTTTTGTTTATGTTCATAAACTGTCACAGCATGTTGCAGTCGCTGTGAGCACTTCACTAGCTCAAAATACCATCCTATTAACCACCATGATTTATCTATTTTGAGTATAAAGTGAATACAGTCATTCTACTGAAAATTCTTCAACTTTTAGACAAGTTCTAAGCCAAACACTGTGAAGTCAATTTAAAAAAGAACCTGCTTCAAAACAAATGCGGAGAAACAAGCTAACGGTTTATATTATATCTTCAGTTGCAAAACAATATACAAATTAATATATGTACAGCAGCAGGGGGCAAATTGCTGATGTTAGCAAACATCCAAAGAAATGCAATGAAAATATGAAAATAATGGCTGCGACGCTGTTGTCCCACCTCTCCCATGATGATAACAAGGTGATAAGTGATACACAGCTCGACAAGACAAATACCAGAGCCACTGAGGATGTGTGTGTATGAGAAAGATCAACTGGCAATATGATTGTCATGCTCTCCCAGTTGACCACATTCATAAAATCAGCATTTGGCTAACGTACTAAACATCTGGATATTTCACGTTTTCTTTTTCTTGCTCTGTGGTCCAGCACATTGGATTTGAACTGAAATGATGACTTTGAGGTTAAAGTGCAGACGCCCACCTTTGATTTGGCAACGTTTATATCCACACTGGGTGAACAGTGCAGGGAGAGACTGTTTTCTTTTGGCAACTATGAGTAAGAGTATTATCATTTCTGCTCTGAATGAGAACAATTTTATGTTTTTCATTGAAAATCCAATTTGCTGGAGTACAGTGCAAAACAGCAGTAACAAGTAACAAAAGTGTTACTGTCTTAATACGCACTCACAGTGTATTTACTATATATGTAGAAGAGGTGAGTGTCAGTAACAGAAGCTTTGTCCTTTTTTTTTTTAAACATTCACATCCAAATTGTTTACTAAAACTAACGGCACTCCCACACACTCTGGCATTGTCCATGGATGAGTGTTGCTGTAGTCATGTCTGTACATGATAGGGCTTTGATGCACATTTATAGTAATGCGCATTCAGCAGCTAGTAGCATGATATGAAACAAAATGAGCTGAGAATGGCGGTCCACTGATGAGGCTAAAGTGAAATCAAATACCTATTCATGCAAGACAGGAAGTCTGTGATTCAGGATGGCCGCCCGCAGAGAACAGTACTCACTCCGCCCGCGCACACACACCAGGTCACAATGGGAGGCAATTGACCAACAGGGAATGAGAGAAACACAGTGAGATGAGCAAAAGTAAGAGAACAGAAAACAACAGGAAGTTACAGCAGATCAGTGCTGACTCAATAAGAAAGAACAGAAATGTCTCTGCCTGTGGTCCTTTGGGAGACGTCACAGAAGCGAGTGTGAGTAACATCATACAGTACAGCTGCATCACACAGTAAGTGTTTTGACACTTTAAAATCGGGCACATCATTTTTGCATCACAGTACAGCCTGCAATGCTTAAAGGAAGGTAAAAAAATTAAAATACAAAGCTTAATAATAAGTGTAAATATTTCAGAGAGGAACTGTACTGACTTATACAACCTAATGTGGCATCTAATATCTTCTCTACTCAACTGATGCTTCTGAATTTGGTTTTCACTATCTGTAGTCAATTATTTCAACTCATTACTTCGGGCCAACACAAGCTGTAGTCTGAAATTCACTGTACATGTCAGTGGCTCTAATAGTCTGGAACATCCCATTGTTGAACAACAGCAGACATCTACTGAGCAGTTGTCATGCTTACTTAGCAGTAACTGAAAATTTCCAAAGCACCTCGGATGCATGTAATGAAATCTCCTGCTGTTTAATGCATGATGGCTCAGGGAGAGGGAGGGAAGGAATAAGGATCTCTTAAATACCGGGTGGTACAGCAGAGCCCAGGCTCATTTCACCTAACCTTACATATACTCCCTGGCAGGCAGTGGGAGGAGACGGTGAATAGGCTGAATGTATAATTAATATTCCCCGCAGAACTATTATCATACAAATTCCATTGTATGTAATATGATCTTTAAAGCACAGGCGATACATACCACACAAGCACACACATTCATATTCACATCCATACAAACAGAATCCAAGAACAAAAAGCCCAAGTACAAAGGAGCTGTAAGGATTGCAACAGAATGCCCTGAAGCTGCAGTGATGCATCAAACATTCAGGCACTATTGTTATTTGCAACAAGCTCTGTGTTTTCACAAAGGAGGAGCTGGATATTGTTAACCCTCTTGCTCTAAGAAAAAGACATAAATCCCTTTGCTGTCCTCTGGCAGAATTCACAGAAGGAAAAGAAGAAAAAAAAAAAGACTTTGGCGCATGCAAGGAGAAGTTCTACTGCACACTTTCAAGTAAAAATGACACTATTACCACATACTGTCTGGCTGTTGTGATATAATAAAGAAGTTATGTGTGTTCAAATTTCTGTGAAAGAACAAAGTTGTTGCACTGTGCACACCATATTACAGACTGCACTGCTGCAGCCTCTCCAGCACAGTGGCTGAGGAACTGAAACACAGTGAAACATTTGTTTCTGCCCCTGCTCACAATAGTTGAATAAAGTCAGACCATGCATAAGTCTACCTTACTTGAAATACATATGCTAATATGAGCAGATCGTGTCTTTTAGAAGTGTGACTAGAATACATAAAGGGTTGTACTGTAGCCATCCACTGTCACACGCACTGTTGGGTTTGCTTTAATAAAGGTCAGGGACCAGAGGGTCAAAATTTCCTCCAGAATCTGCAAAACTCTGCTTCAGGAAGAAATCTTCATAGAATTTAATACCTGAGTTGAATGCAAAATCTCTCTTGCACAAAAATGTGAATATAGGTTGAAATTGTAAGTGAGAGTGTAAAACGGTACCTGTTTCAGTACAGATGACAAAGCAATACTTTTTCCCTAACTTGCTTGAAGAATTTGTTGGGGTTTTTTTTCTTTTTGAAATATTTGATAAAACAATAAGTGAAGAAGACTCTTGACAGTTTTTGATGCTACAGACACATTTTCTTTAGTACTCAAGTACACGAGTACCCAACCAGCCTTCCTGCATTACAGAGACCACATTTGGGGAGGGGGCAGTATGTGAGGATTGCTATCCAACAGTGATGTAGCAATGAACATTCCTAGAAACACTGTAAATAGTGAACAAGATTTGCTCGCTACACATGGACATGATTGTGTCTTTCATAAATGTGATTCAGTGCCACTTTAGTGTTACCTTGAAAGCGTATTTGCGGTTTATGTGGTCATCAGGCTCAACTGGTGCGATGACATAACTGGGGAGAGGGATGCTACCGAGCACTGTCTCCTCTCGGCTGTCTGTGAAGCAAGGACACACACACACACACACACACACACACACACACACACACACACACACACACACACATACATAGAATATTGTTACGGGCGCCCAAAACAACAATCTCTAATTCTGCCAAGATTTTTTTATGATGTTTACAAGTGACTGCAGATTTATGAACAGCAGGGAGATCAGTGAGGCGTAATTCATGGGTGACTCTTGTCTGGAAGGGGCCATGTGGCAGCATGTGGCACGAGGTGGCATGTGGTTTATCTATTATTCAGTATGATTAATGGAGGAGAGGAGGTAGATGCTATAGCAACGCAAGCAGAGATTATATCCCATAATAAAACACTCAAGTTAATGAGGAAGGAGAAGTGAGAGGAATAGAAAACCAGGGAGAGTAAGAAACAGCAGTAGATGTCACACGTCTAATTACAGGCTGTTATTTATCAAGAAATGTATCTTCCTGCAGAGGAGATCACTAAAGGTTTGTGTTTCTAATTTTACAACCAAATCCATTGTAAATTTTGTCTCTTAAACCCTGGCCAAGTGCACTTTTCACAGACTCACCTTTGTAGTAAAACAAGCAGTAGTCCGACAAAACAAACCACTTCCGTTTCCACAGTCGCATTCCAGAGCTGTCCTGGAGGTAAAGGGGGAAACACAACACACAGTGTATTTAGAAATCCACCTTGCAGTAACACAATGTAATTCACATTTTAATTAAAAAGTGTAGTTTGGGAATAGAGGAACGGGTGGGGTCGGGGCTTTATGCATATCATTGGAGCAATAATTTTATTTCTTTTTTTTTTTTTTCTTTCTCTACATTTAACTCAGTACTGTAGGTCTCCAACTCTGGGTTTGGTCTGTGCTTTTTATATCTAATACTTCTTAGGATTGTGCACTCACATAAGACATTAAAGTCTAGATTCACTAAAATGGTTGCAAGGTCATTCTGAACATTCATTTTTACTGACATATCACATCGTATCCTGTACACAATGATAGATTACTGATAAGAGCTTTAGTGCAGAGAATGATGATGTAAATTGTCATGTTTAGCTTTAGCTCACAAGGTTGCTTTCACACCACACACAGATGTACCTGTCGTACAGTGAAATATCACACCTTCTGCAGGGAGGGTAAACTAAGAATATGTGACTGGTATTTCAGATGTGACAGATTTGAGGCTGTGTTTTCTTTTTAACATTTGTAAGGCTGCAACTAATGCTTATTTTTATTATTGAGTCAGTTATTTATTTTTATGATTGATCAATTCATTCCTTTGTCAGAAAATATTGGCAAAATGCCTAGGGTGACGTCTTGTTTTGTCTGAGTAATAGTCCAATACCCCAAGATATTAATTTCAAATGATGTAAAACAGAGTAAACCAGCAGATCCTCTCATTTTGAACCAGGACAAGGAGAATGTTTGGCATTTTCAATACATTAAAATATCAAAATTGACCAGAGGAACTCTGGCTCACCTGTTTATAGAGCCAGCCTCTCACCACCACTGGGATGTTGAGGTTTCTTTTAATAGCATGATCCCGCTTGCCAAAACTGTGTACTTTCCCCGTAACTCTGGAGCCCTGCAAAAAAGAAAAACCAAGGAGGATGAGATTATATGGTAGCTATGCTGAAGAACTGTAATTCAATTGACTTTGCTTACAGCATACAGTTATTATTAATAGCGAGTAGTATTGTACTGACCACTGTCATCCACAGCACAAACAATACAACTGCAAATTTAGTTAATTGAAAAGTAAAGACAAACAGTCTTTAAACTAAGTAAAATGGCATTTTCCATGAACTTCCTTCTTCTACTTCCCAGAAGAGGAAATACCAACTGCTGTTCCTGTGGATGCGCAAATCCATTTATAATCAGGCATATTGTATTTTTAGACACAGTCATTTCAGACTACATCTTCTCTGTGACAATGAGATCACACTTTTTCTCAGGTATTTTTCTACAGAAATACTTTGGGTTGTCATGTCATGGTGTTGACCAGCTCAAAGCTGAAAGAAGACAAATGCTAAGGGGACAAATATGTATATGCAATTCCTTATACAAAGACATAAGTGAGACACAATCGTTACTGTTTTAATTAGACAATAAAAAACACCAGTGGTACCAAAATGTAAATAGTAAGATGATTAAATCACACAAAAAAATCAATACACAAACTAATTAAAAGCATTTTTGCTGATAATTTTCCCCAGAGGAACAAGTGTCTCTAACATCAATATCAGCTGTCTTTAAGCGGCTTTCAGGGGTGCCATTAGAAATTTTAGATTTCGAAGTGTCTTTTTATTTTCCTGTGCTTCTGTGGCGTGTCCCACATTCAGTGACACAACGTGTTTGCGCCAAAAATTTCCATGATCGCTGTGGAAACAACAGCAAGAATGGCAGAAAGATGCATACGCCCCTGTCCAGTCCCACAGGATGTGTATTTGAGTTTTATTAAGCTTGAAAAATTACTGAATTATTTCTCTCTGTGGTCATTACTCACAATGAGATAATGTCTCCTAGAGTTGATTAAACCAATTTATCAACATGACCATTAACAGTCATCAAGAGAGCTCCAAAAGCAATTTGCTACACTAAACAGAAATGTATGGTGGATTACAATAAATATAAAAAAAACCTTTTTGAACATTTTACTATACTATACTATTTTAGGATTCATTTTCTCTATAAACATAATTAGAATTTCAAAGTTAAGGTTCTACACTAAAACTAACACAAGCAAAACATACTTGACATAAAACAGCTGGACTCTCAGAGAACAGAAACACTGATGCTCACCTTTGACCCTGAGGTGGCATCTGCTGCTGCCGAGGTCACTGCCTTGGAGGACCCTGTGACCATACTGGGGGATCTCTGGTGGGCTGCTGACTTGGACATACGGGACTCTATCCTACAGTTGAGAAGGCAGCGTAGAAGAGGATCACTAACACAGACAGGATGAGAAGCACTGGATAGTGTTTTTTCTTCTCAGTTCCTCTGACAAACTACAGACATGCAGAACGCAGCCCTGTGCTGAGCTTTCAGATATAAAAGGATATGACTATTTCCTGACATCGCCATGCGACCTGTCACAGCCAATGGCTTTGCAGTTGATGTGTTGAACAGTGGAAGCCTTGTGGTCAAAACACTGTAGTGGGTCTGACACTCACCATGGGGCAGGGCTTATACACACCCAGATAACAGCACAAAACAAAACAAAACAAAACAAAAACAGAACAGAAGCCTCATGTTACACCATCTGACACACGTACGCGCGCGCACACACACACACACACACACACACACACACACACACACACACACACACACACTGCATACACTAATACATGTATTATCTATTGACAGCTTATTGGCGCTACACATTAAAAGCATTTAAGGTGTTAAAGTCAGCATCATTAGTGGTATAATCGAAAGTTACATGCTGAACTACTGTGGTGCTTTAGCTCCACTGTCCAGTTTTAAAGTACAGACAATATGTTTGTAATAATAATAATGTTTTATGTTTGCCTGTGTGTCCCAAGGTATTCAGTGCTTTATCTCCCTGCTCTGTCATTTACCATTCACTCAGTTTAGGCAAAAATAATGTTAGCATTCCACGCTAACATGAATGTTAGTTTTTTCTCAATCGGTGAAGAGAGGAAATAAGAAATTATGTCATATGTCAAAATACAAATTACTACAGGTGGTCAGCAACATTATACATTTGTGTGACTCTTTATATACAGTAATTTCTAAATCTTAATGAACTGAGGGAGTAACCTACTCCAAACCTTCATAAACACGTCATAAACACCTTAAGTGGTAGGGGTAGTTTGAATAGAATATGAATAACGTTTGTCTAACATTTGTCTGAAACTTATAATACTGATGTTGGTAATGGAGGTTGGAGCCATGTTGTCCAGCACTGCAGGCAGAGTGGTAGCTTCAAGCTATTTTCTCTCCAGTTTATTTATCACCAAGTTTTCTCTACCATTATTTCAAGGACTTTTTTTCCAGGTTGCTGCAGCTTTCAATTTGTTCTACTGGCTCAAAAGAAGATGCATCAGTGATAATGGGAAAACTGGAGCCAGCAAGGATTAGTTTGATTTAAAAAGGTCCCAATGACATTTCTTGGGAATTTTATTTTAGGCTCATAAGTAATAACATGCAGTTCCAACAGATTTTTAATCCATAAATCCTGCAGATTGCCTGTTACGTCATATTCTACAGGTGCTCTAATCTGATGGTTTTGCAGACCACTGAATTAAAATGTCACTGTCACACACCTGGAACCATCTTTAGGTGACACCTTCCTTGTCTCCCTGAGAAGCCATTTGAAGGGGTGAAGCAAGTCAGCATAAATGGGTATTTAGCGTGTCCCTACTCATTGCTCTACCACCACCATCCAATAACTCAAATCAGGACAGATCCATGGACTGCTGTTGGGTTGCTTAAGCCGTACTCTAGACCTAACATTGGTGTCACAACTGAAATTGAGATTTGACAAACCAGGTAATTTTTCCACAGTTCTGTCAACATGTTTTAGTGATGACATGTCCACTGCAGCTCCATCTTCTTGTTCCTACCTGACACTAGAGGAACTTCACAGTCTTGAGAATCTGTAGCCCAACTTCAGGATTTCACAAGTGCTCAGGGATGCTTCTAAGCACTACTTGTAGACCAAAGCCTGTGGCTAAAGCAATCTGTGCATTCATCTCTGACTTGACATTAAACTCTGGAAGCCAGAGAAGGAGGCTCTTTCTGTGATGCCAGGGGCCGCAAGGCCAGGCAACAGTCAAGCAATGTTAACGCTCACTTTCAATAATCGTGTGGCACCTTAGTGTTGTCTGATGGATTTATATAATTAGCTTCAGCAACATGACTTGCACTAATGATCACATCTAGCATCCACCATCGATCATGTATGTCACCTCTTAAGAAGTTAGAAGTTAGGGAAAATTTGCCTAAAGACTTTAATTTCCCCTGATAATTGTGTTTGCATACCTATGTTAAAAAGGCCAGTAAAAATTCTCTATATAAAAAAGGAACTTGTCTGCAGCAAGTCAACCATGTATAACTGACATGCAACTGCCCAGAACCTCTTCTTGACTGTAAGAGTGAGCTCACAATGGGAAACAATGAGTGACCTGTCCCTCTGACAACACTGCCACTTGCCCCCTGCATTGTTGTGCAAAAGGGTTAAAAGCAGCACCGAACCTCTTATTTTTTCCTGCTTTGTGTGCTGCACTACACCGAGGCTAAAAAAAAAAGCAGATAAACTAAAGATGTGTGTCAGAGACCAAAAGCAAAAATGCTGGTACAACAAGGGTAAAGAGAGAGAGATAACAGTGGAACAAAACTTAGTGTCTGCACTCACAGCGTGGACTGCAGCCATCATTTTTACAGGATGTTTCTGTCGTATGAAGGGTACTCTGCTGTTTTATGTGAAGCTTTCATACTGTTTACCACGTCTGTCAGTGGAACAGTCCCCAGGAGATTTGTTGTGGCATGTGGTAGAGAGGGGCAATATTTCACATCACATAGCGCAAGAAGGTGGAAAGACTCTAAGCTCCATCTTTTCCTGCTTCTCTTGCTATGATGGAAATGAGGGCATATTTGACATTTTTAAATCCTTTCAGGCAGGGGGTCTACATGAAGAGATCTGACAAATTGATCATGTGTGATAATCTATAACAAAGCCAAAGCCTTCAGGACTGCAAAGCATAGGCCGATCGACCTCTCCAAGGGGAAGGGCCTCCTGAAGCTCTTTTTCCTGCTCTGTCCTCAATCTGATTCGGGTCTCCAGGGAACACACTGAGTTCCTCCTTACTTGGAAGTTAGTCTGTGATTCATGGAAGTAACCCACTTCCTATCCAGATATCATTATGCACAGAACGAAGCCCATAACATCACAGTGTCAGTGAACAGAAGCAACGCTTTGCAGTCGCAGTGAGGTCGCAGTGAGGTCACGCTTGCGCTGCACACATTGAATAGTAAAACTGCATCCCAGCTGTTACACACTACGCTCAAGTCTTCAGGATTTTAGCGATGAAGGTGGAAATGAGATGCATTAAATAGGGAGATGATTTTTTTGTGTGAGCTAGGGTGAGTTTGAGTGAGCTACTTTTATCTTACAAGCCACCAAGTTTCACATCTCTTTACTTCTGGATTTCTTATTTAATGACTGAGCTGTAGTGCAGTCTACAAGCATAATTCTATCAGTCAAAACTGCTTGGAGATTTCTTGTTGGTGTTTTAAACAATTTCTCTGATTAACAGAAAGTAACTGAGCTCTTAAAATGAATAAAAATCTTCTGGTGTGTTTACTGTATCCTAGCTAAGCACAAAGACCAGAAGTCAAAGGCAACACGTATGTAATCTAATTGAACATTGTATATCATCCACTGCATTGGAAAAGCCAAGTACATAGATTTTTAGAGTGGTTGCCTTCACAAAGTAGGGCAGGTTGTCATGTGGGGAGGTGAAACACAGATTAAGTTATTGATCAAGACTTCAAAAACAGGCTACAAAGAATGTAATATTATTTTTACAGGTATCACAAAGGTAGCTCTATTTCCTGGTGTGAGCTGAAGACTATTCGACTCAAAAACAGGAAGGGAAGGTGACAACAGTTTGTCTTCTTTTAGTACATATCTGACTTGGCCATTGTTCAGAACTCTTTACTGATTTTGGTAGTAATGTGTTTGCTGTAAGTACAAAGCTTCTGTCAACCTGTTCAGTTAACACAGCCAGTGGCTCAAGTAGGAAATATGTTGATGTGTTTCTTTAAAAATAAAAAGAACTAAGACAAAACTTTAACATGCTTACTGTATGTTCTATGACTGCGTTTCTTAACCTTGTCTTGCCCGTTACATGACATCCTTGTCATGTTGTTGTGGGAGGGGCATAGAACTGATGCTATTCTTACTATAATAAGCTTAAAGAGATTAGGACTAGCATTTGTCGGTACCAGAGTCATTCTGTTAATGTTTAAAATATGCGAGTGAGGCAACCATAGCTTAAAGCCCCTTGATGGTATACAAATCCTTGGCTCAACAGCACTGAACAAGGATTAATGAGGAGTTTCAGGAAATGAATGACAGAGGAGGGTGCAGATGAATCACAATCAGCTTCACATTGCCTTAACAAAACAGCTTTTAATTAGTGAGACTGCAGAGGTCATTCAACATGCTTCTGCCTATAGCGGAATCTTTGCTAGGCATGGTCATCTTACACCAGCCAGCTTAAATATGATCAGACACCTGCCGGTTTATGTTGTGCTCTAAACCTGCCATACAGCTTTGACGGTTTCGCAGGATGAGATTCACACAATGGAATGAAACAATGACAAGAAATCCTACTGCGCTGCCAAGGTAAATATACTGTATACTGTAGTAAATAAAAACAAGGCAGGTGACATGTTGGTATTTAATATACAATACATCAAAGAGGTGTCCTTCTTAAGAAAAACTTGCTTGGCACTGAAAAACCTTGTGGAAACTCTATCAGTGCTTAAGTCAGGAGCACACAGTCAGGCTTCTGCTTTTATGACTTCGACTACATTGAGAGAAATAGCTCAGATGGATCATTATTCTTATAATAAAGCCAACATTAACAAAGCTTGGCTGATTGATGAGACAGATTCATGACTCCAGATGTGTTATGAATGTGGTCAAAATCACATGTGCTTGTCAACTGTGTCATTAACATAAATTTTATTAAGGCAATAATTTAAAGAATAAAGCTAAAGAGCCTCCAGGATCCACATCCAGTAACATGTGTGTGCAGTCAGCTATGAATACCATGATGGTAATGAATAAATTCAATTTTAAAAAAAAATACACTCCCATCCTTTCTTGTTCTGACTATAACTGCAACTCAGTTTTCTGACGAACAGTTAATTGAGAGTCGAGTGGTTTCCCTTTCCTTGTTACAGCAGAATAGAAAACTTCCAGCCCAACCCCCCTATTGTCATATGCTTCACCAAGGAGGGTGATAGACTACTTCCCAGTCTATTTTTGGGCTCCAACCACATGACCTTGAATTGACCTCTCGATATATTCACAGATGCGTCATTACCAGGAAGAGAAAAGACCAACTCACCTGTCTTGTAGTGTGTATTCTGTGTTTTCGGGGGAAATCTGTCCAGTCACAGGATGCCGAAACGATGTAGCCCTCAGGTTGTGGCTGCAGGACAGAGGGAGAGGGAGAGAGAACAACACCGGAGGAGAAAACAAAATAAGTATCAAATCATTAATCATAGTCCTGTCTGATCATGTCCTCGCGCAGCTGTTTCTAAGCTTACAATAGTGCCTCACTCAGTTGGTACATCTATGGTACAGCTTGGTCAGGAATTACAGCTCATATTCTTTTACACAAAATGTAGGGCTCAGCACTCTCCCTTAGCCGGCTCACCAGGCTTTATTGATTTCAATTAGTTGGGGCCATTCATTGCTTTAACTAGAGCATAAAGGCATGTTACTGTCACAGGATAGAATAAGAAACAGACAAGTGGCTAGTGCTGCTGGTGTTGAGAGGACTGAAATATTATGCTATGACTCTTTTTCTATTGGCTGTTGTCTATTGTATATTGACATATGATTAGGCAAGGACAAAATTTAGGCTCTTTTACAGTTTAATGACAAAACAAAGCAAAATCCTTTTTAGTCTAATATCATGCCACTGGTATTCTACTGAAATACTGTCTACATCTACTATGTGTCTATCTACTATGCTAGGTCTACTGTCAAATATGCTGACATAGCTCAACAGCCCCGAACAAACTTTTGATCTGACACATCCTGATTGGTAAACTTCTTTCTCATAATGTACTTGGTTGATGCTTCATAAAAAAATAATCAGTGGTGTATCTATCAAATGCCTAAACTTATCATCGCACCATCTTGGAAGGTTAAGCTTCAATCATTCATTGTGTTTAGCTCTCCATTTCATTTAGTTTCTCTCACTATTTACACAAAACCACAAGAGAGTATACTGCAGAGGACCTGTAAGGTGTATGAGTGTGTCAAACTGTGACACATCCCTTGAGATGCCGCTGGCTTTCTCCTTAGAGCATCATTTTTAATATTAGACATATACGAAGTTTTGAAAAACATGTGATCTATAGAAATATTATACAACATAATATGGATAATATATATAAACTTTCCAGCATTGGGTGCCCCATTGCTATAACTAATATCTAGCATCAAAGGCCTGTCTGAGCTCTCTACTGAGGTGTAGCTTGTGAGGAGACAGCTATTTGTCATAGTAAGAGGACAACAGTTATGAAGTGCAGGAGTCTTAGTCCCATTCAGGTTGACTGAACAATTGCCCTCTTATCTTCTCCTTTCACCATCACACAGTCTATTACAGAAGAAAAACAAAACACTATTTTTCCTCAGAAGCTGAAAAATACTGTGCACACACGTGCAAAAAAAAAACTCAGTAAATACTGCTGTGCAGAGGGTAAATTCACATACTGCCTTTTCCTAAACTTACACACCAGCACAGACAAATAGCTGAGATAAATCTGTTTACACTATCCTCACTTAAAGTGTACCAAGGGTAAATATATAACCACGCATCTAGCAGTAAGGGGTGAATCCACTGAGGGACAGCTGTTAAGTTTAAGTACTATGTGCAGAGATACAAACAGAAAGTGGTGCCTCGTTGCATCACCATGCAGCAAAGGGAGGAGAAAGGAAGTGAGCAGGGTGGAAAGATTTATGAGTTGACATTTCAGAAAAGTTCAGAGGGCGTATTGAACAGGAATGATACTCAGCGATTCTGCATACACAAACATGACATCAAATATAAACAATATATGAAACCTACACATACAGTCATGTTAAAATTGCTATTGATCACATATACATTCACAAACATGCATGCGCACTCACACACACACACACACACACACACATAGACATATACACACACAGGCTTGGCCAGGCTTGTTCCTGGTAAAAGCTCATAATTTGCTGAGCTGCACTGGGCAAATACTGCACCAGCTTCCCCTGTTAATTAGGAATCTGCATTCTTTGAGGCTTTTGTTTTAGCCGCATTATTTCTGAACTATTTGTCACGGAATTTGCAGCATCCCCAGTTAGTGTACAAACACTGCAGCACAGCAGGTCTATTTGTTTGCAGAAAACTATAGCTTCCATTAATGCTTGTGACAACAGTGTCCCAAAGAAGAAAATGAATTCCTGCTGCAGATGAGTTAGCACAGTGTCTTGCCTTCTAGATTATATAGAGGAGAAGTGCAAGTCAGATGGTTGCCAGCATTTAATGTCACAATTAGGATTCTGTGTAGGGACTCTACATAAATTATGGATTATCATAATGTACACTTGTTTGAGGTAAAAAAAAAAAAAAAAAAAAAAAAAAGGAAATCCACTACATCACCTTGTAGTCATGTCTGTCAATTCAGCTTCTGGTTCAACTCAGGTTCATCTTTATTTTGCACATTGATTTGAATGCAATCAATCTATAACAGAATCATTCAGTCACACGTGCTCTAATCAATAACTTGTGTTTCCTAATTCAAAAGCATCAAAAGGATATGGTTATAAAACATACATAGATAAATAGTATAAAGCTATTAATCCCAAATAAATTATGTGGTACAGCAGTGAGGCATAAGTTATTTTGTAAATATATGTTTATTGGTGGCATAAACTTAGTCGAGATCTTTTGCGTGAAGGACAGTACTTATGCTCAGAAAAGTTCTGTGTTTGACTCAGATCAAGTTCCAGGAAAAATTTCATTCCAAAAACGGGCACAGTCTCGCACCACTATTATGTCAACAAGCTCCAGAACAGTGACCATCAGGTTAAGTAGAGTTTCTGCTTCCATCAAGCCAGATAAAGAAGAGAAAGAATGTACAGTAAAAGTGTTACCATAATGTAAACAAGAGTTCAATCCCCGCTGAGAAAAGAGGTGGGTAAAAACACAATTTTTGTGACCGAACTTTATCTTTACGGATGGAAGTTTAGAGCTGTAATCTAGGGATTTTCTATAAACTGAGCTGAGTTTGATGTAAAGTAGGCAAACTGGACTGTGAATAGGGATTAACCTGAGAATAAAATGGCTGGTTTTGATTTCTTTGCCTCTCAAAGGAAACAGCAGCACTGCAGCTCAAACAATGAGAACATGCTCTCTCTCTCTCTCTCTCTCTCTCTCTCTCTCTCTCTCTCTCTCTCCCTCTCTCTCAATGCTGCAACATCAGCCCTGGCATGCTATACCTTTTTTTTTTTTTACGAAACAAGAGTCTCGGGATAATCCCTGTCCACCGCATGGGCTGAATCTTGACAGCAGGGGCAGCAGGGGCACCAGGAGCAAGGCTCTGTGGTTTGAACACCTCTCTCTCCTTTTCTCACGCTAATAGAGGCTCCAAACTGCTCAACAACACACTTCAAAGACAGGAATCACACCATCCACTTACAGTCTCAACTCCTGTATCTATTTATACCACTCTCCCTGAGAAAAAAAACTCGCCAAAACCGAAGACTCACTACTAGCACAGATCTCTAGTGTTTCTGTTTGCTACTTACTGTGCTGCTGTATCATGCACGCAGTAAAGACAGTCTCACCTGCTGTGAGAAAGTGAATCATCGTGAATCAGCTGCTAGACTCGCTGTGGTTGCTGCAGGTCACGGAAATCCTCTCTGCATTATCGGGAGCAGGTGGGAGATACAGAGAGGGTCTCTCGTAGCAGTTGGCATCCGCAAAGAGCAGAGTAAAGTGGAGCCAGCAGGATGAGAGCAGGAGGGGGAGCTCTTTATCTCTGCTTTCTCCTGCTCAAGCGTGCTGTCTGAGAGTTTCACCCCACACTTGCTGAGTGGATAGTAGAGATCTAACTCCCTCCCATCAGGGGAATACCTCCGTTGCTTATCAGATCCTCCTCCCTTTCCATTTTCCACTCTCCTCTCTCTACCTCTCCTTTTTTCCCAGAATAGAATTTGCTAAACATCATGTCTTTCGATATAATAAAACCTTACTAGCTGCTATTCAAGAGGAAATACTATATACCACACATACCACATCAATGTAGTCTTGACAAAAATGTCAAAAGAGTCTTTCTTTACTTGATTCAATTATTGCCAGGTCTTTGGTGCTGGGGTTTGCTACTTGGCTGTCTGAATTCCTACAGTAATGAAGCTGCCTTATTTTAGATATATTTTGGTTAGTGTGTCACAGTGGTATGCCACTGGTATCCTCTGAGTGGCAGCATTGCAACTAAAGTAATGAAGACAAGAGGGCATGTTGGCAATTTAGCTTTTTCTCAATCAGTAAACTCCTTTGACTGGCCAAGTCATCCACGCTCTACAACACCAATTAGTTGCTCCATGCACAATTTTAAAGTTCACGTGGGCAGTGGAGTCTCTTCGTCACACACTCTCACACCTGCAGCATTCACATCAGCTTTTGCAAAATATCTGCTATGCCGTCAGTGGATTCGTTTAGGCAGGGCCTCAACAATGTTTATATGAAACACACGTCAACACACGTGTTGAGTATTAAGACCAGGATACAGAAATATACTTACACATCACACACATACAACTTAGACATAAAATACTAAAAAAAACCTAAAATAAATAACCTCTTGAACTTCTTGAGCCCCTTCAAGGGCACCTCAGGGTCATTGGTGTCTACTTTTTGAAACACTGGTTTAACAGTAACATTGCCCTGCGACCTATGCTAAGAGGGAATTGAAACTAATCCTGAGGAATGCAGACCATGGGAGTAGGTGGTAATACTGTAGGCCTGTGGTAAATATTGAAGCTAAAAAAGCAGCAACTTCAGAGGTTTGAGTTTGCTGTCTCACCCTTTGTCACATGTATTTCATTTAGAAGCAGTTTAATTCAATAAATAAGGTCCAACCCACAGAGAATACTGAAACAGGAGCTCTTATGGCAAGGAATTATTTTCAGTGCTGTGAACACACACAAGGAGTCTCTTGTCTCCCTCCATGTAGCCTCCATAATGAGCATCACAGCATCAACGTGTTTTCTGAAAACTCGAGAAGCAGGAGGAAATCCAGATGTCAAGAGATATAGCTACTGAGAGTGCCAGTTATTTCTGTTGGTTTCCTCCTACCTCTGTGGCCACACCAGATTTGGACAAAAAGAAACTAAACATGAAATTAAGTGCAAGGCAAAATAATAAATGGAATTTTA